ATAGGGCGAAGGTCTTCGGGAAACCCAGTAGCTATGCAATGGTGCAAGTGCTTTGGTACCCTATCGCTTTCGCATTTACACTTTTCGGTCATTTGATCCCCTTGTTTAGGTTGACTTGACTTACCGGTTGAAGCCATCTTTGATTGCATATTGTGCTTAGGTCTCTCTTTTTGGGAGTTATGTGGGTGAACACTCAACATTCTTCTTACTAAGGATTTGGAAGTGTGGGAAATTATTTTCCATTTTTTTACGACTGCTCTGAAAGCATGATCCATTGTAGAGTTCAAGAAAAAAAATGTGAACAAAAAAAAGAAAATATTACTTCCTCAAAGAACTTCCTTCCTTCTGAAGACTATTAACTCTTTTTTCGACACGCATTGTGTCAAAAGCAATTATCTTTAGATTTTTTCCTGTTTTCATATGAAAGCAATGGCAGCGTTTGAAGAATAAGGTTGTGCCCTATATTCTCGCTTTCGTCCACTTTATCCTCCCCCCCTTTCGGCGTGGTCCCACGCCTACGCTCAACTTTTTTCCTCTGCACTCTTTTGTTTAGAACTGATCGTCGAGATTCAATAAAGTACTTGCAGCTGAAACAGCAAAAATAGGTCTGATTGACTGATTTCCCCCATTAAACAACTGCTGAACAGACAATTGATATGTTTTAGAAAAAAAGCGATGTTCTCAACATTAGGCCTTGTTGGCTCGGGGAACTGTGCCTTCTCGAATAATAGGAAATTGAAATTACTGTACTTCACAACTACTGCCATCGTATCTCTAATGTTTTTGTTATTCACAGAGCGTGAAGAACACCGGTGTTCTGACGGGGGCGTCTCGATGGGAGGAGGAGTCGGCGGCTCGGGAACAGGCTGCCAATGATATGGGTACCGACGGACCCGCACCCACACCAGTACGTCTACAGGTATGAGCGTGAAATCTGTAAGTTATTTTTTTAATTTTACGCGTCTATCGCAGGGCATTTATCGCCCTTCCCAATCACGCGCTTGAATAATCGTCCACTTAGTAGAATAATCCAGAAGGGGCAATTACTCACACCCGTACTCCTATGGAACTCCTTAGCGTGACTAAGTTGAATCTTTGATTTCGTGACAGAGAGTTGTCTTCAAGTAGATAAGGGGAGAAAAACTTTGACTCGTTCAGTCGTATACGTAACAACTAGAAGTACACAGTTCAGGTATGAATGCTACCCAACTATAT